CTATTTTAAATACTTTGCAGTGCTGGGCTCACACCTGCTTTCTCTCCCTCCCTCCCTCCCTCCCTCCCTCCCTCCCTCCCTTCCTCCTTCCCTTCTTCCCTTCCTCCCTTCCTCCCTCCCTCCCTCCCTACCTCTCTTTTTTCCTTGGAGACAAGGTTTCACTCTGCAGCCCAGGCTGGCCTAAAACTCATATGTAGGATCATGGTAAACCTCCCATATTGGGATTATAGACATAAACCACATGCACAATTCATATCTCTTTTATTTTAATCAATTAATTAATTTATTTATTTATTTTAGGTTTTTTTTGAGACAGGGTTTCTCTGTGTAGCTTTGGAGCCTGTCCTGGATCTCACTTTGTAGACCAGGCTGTCCTTGAACTCACAAGAGATCCGCCTGCCTCGGCCTCCCGAGTGCAGGGATTAAAGGCGTGGGCTACCACCGTCTGGCTTCATGTCTCTTTTTAAAAGGCACATTTTTGACAGATCTCTATGTAAGAAAGCACTACCAAAAACTGTGAGTTATTTTAAGGCTCCCGGTACACCTTAAATAATTGCTTTCCAGGAGAGTTATTCAAAATATATCCTACCAACATCATGTAAGTTCTATTAATGAAACTTGTAAGAAATGTCCATTATTTAAAAAATAACCTTCTCAATGTAAGCTACATGTCTACACCTACTCCTTTGATACTAAGGATGAACAGTATATAAACGTCTACACCTACTCCTTTGATACTAAGGCTGAACAGATATACACATTTACATTAAAGGCTCTCTTTCTGATCTGCAAACACACAGCACATACAAACAAGACACACGATCCTTGCTTTGGGTTTCACACTTGTCAACTCTCTCCCAGCATGGGCTCACTGCCTTTTATTTTCTCTTTTCTTCCTTGTGGGTATGTGTATGTGTTCATTTGTGTGTGCCCGGGAGTGTGCACCTTACTTTTTCAGACAGGGTCTCATAATGCACCAGGAGCTCACTGAAAGCTCAGCTAGTGCCACAAGCCCCAGAGAGTCCCCTTGCTCTGTCTCACCTCCACAGGGGTCATAGGTCACTCTGTGCCTGTCCTTTGGTGGGTTCTGTAGGGTTAAGCGCAGGTCCTCAGCCATCTTCCCAAACTCTATTATTCCTTTTGTGTGTGTGTGTGTGTGTGTGTGTGTGTGTGTGTGTGTGTGTGTGTGTGTGAGAGAGAGAGAGAGAGAGAGAGAGAGAGAGAGAGAGAGAGAGACTGTTTTTGATGTATACAATTTTAATTTTGTGAAGTCAATATGCAATGTTTCTGTTGTCTGACATTTCTATTTTGATTGGAATCTCCGTCTATTTTAATTCTTTTTTTTTTTTTGAGTCAGAGTTTCTTTGTGTAGCTTTGGCTGTTCTAGAACTAACTCTGTAGACTAGGCTGGCCTTGAACTCACAGAGATCCACCTACCTTGACCTTTCTTCTTTCTTATCTACGCTAAGTCGTTTCTATGTAACTCTGCCTTATTTATAAAGTTTCTGGGCTGGCGATGTGACTCAGTTAGTAGAGTGCCTACATAAAAGGCACAAAGCCTCAGGCTTGATCTCCAGTGATACACAAAACAGTCATGATGGCACATGCACAGCCCTTTTGGGAGGCAGAGATAGGGGATCAGAGTTCAGGTCATCAGTCGTTGGCTAGTTTGAGACCAGCCTGGGATACATGACACAAAGCAAAGAAACAAATCCACGATACAGTGACAGTGAGCACACCAGACCAGCCTCAGCGACCCCCCTGCAGTGGACAGCCAGGCTCTCGCTTGCATTTGGGATTCCTGGCTTGTCTTTTACATCTTTTTCCCTCTCATAGTTTCCTAGGTTTGGCATAGTTTCTGTCTTTTGCAACTGGTTTTGCAACTGTCTTCTCACTTCTTGGCTTGATACCTCACTTGATTTTAATGATAATGTGACACAAGGTAACAAGTGTTCTGTTAGCTTTCAGCTCAGGGAACCATACTTGGGGAGCAGGCCTTATAGGAAGGAGGTCTGTAAGCTGTGGTGCTCACCTAAGGCATGTCAGCTGTGCAGCAGCCTGTGTGGGAGCCTGTGTGTTGACAGTGCATGGGTCTTCCATCTTCAGTTTAGCTAAGTTACTGGGAAACAAGAAAGAAAGGCTTTGGAGCATCTCTATGTTCGTTCGTCAGCCTAACTCTGTCTCATAAGAAAAACTCTAACACAGAAGAAAAACTTAATTGTCTGCCAAGAAAGATGAACTGACTTAGCCCCAATGATCAACAGCCCATCAGATAGGGCTAGTAAAGCCTTTACCTCCATCTTATCCTCAGCATCAATTTAGTATGGAGAAACTAGAGTACGCATTTCAATTGACTGTAGTCTTCTTTCCACACAGATAAAACTACAGGTCAAAGAAGCCTCTGGTACTTAAAAGCCCAGATGTTATTAAAATCAAAGCTGTTGTGTAGGCTAGTGTTGTTCAAATCTTAGATGGTCTTTTAATAAAAAACCCAGAGCTAGGGATCAGGGTGAAAGCTGAAAGATCAGAGAAGCAGAACAGCCAGCCACTAGTTCTTACCTCTACAAAATCCTCAGCCTAAAGAGTGTTTCCTCATGACTTATATACCTTTCTCTGCCCTGCCATAATACTTACTGGGATTAAAGGGATGTGTGCTCCCAAGCAAAGGCATGAGATCTCAAGTGATGGGATTAAAGAAATGTGCCACCACTGCCTGGCTCTGTTTCTCTCCTATACTGAATCAATCTCATGTAGCCCAGTGTGGCCTTGAACTCACAGAGATCCAGACGGATCTCTGCCTCCCAAGTGATAGGATTGAAGGTGTGTGCCACCACTGCCCGACCTCTATGTCTAATCTAGAGGCTGGCTTTGTCCCCTGATCCTCAGGCAAGTTTATGAGGATATATAATATATCACCACAGGCTAGCCCAATGTGTTCAACAAAGCTGTATAAGGGTGTATAAAATATATACTGTGCAAGATGTATAAGGGTGTATAAGGTGCATACTGTATAAGCTATATAAGGGTATATAATGTATATACTGTATAAGTTATATAAAGGTGTATAAAGTATATAGTGTATAAATTATACAAGGGTATATAAGGTATATACTGTATAAGCTGTATAAGGCTTTGTGTAAAGGACAGGGATGGGAAGCCCAAATCTAGGTTCAGTGCTTGTTTTCTTAGTCTGTTTTTGGTTGAGTTATCTTAAGGTTGAGGCTGGGGTCTTGGAGTATGACTAGACAACTGTTCTAGGTGTGGTTTCTGTGCTGCTCTGTTTCAGACCCTCCAGAGCCCTTGCTGAAGCCATGAGGCCCTCCACGTGCTGCTCCCTGACTACTGAGCTTAGCTAACCTCTTCCAATGCCCTTCCTAGCTCATTTCATTTCAGCTACAGCCTTTCTCAGTGTTGCATCTGAAGATTGCTAATTTCCCTCTGCCTGGAACATTCTCTCCGTAGGTATTTTAGTTAGGTTTCTATTGCTGTGATCAAACACCATGACCAATTGCGACTTGGGGACGAAAGGGTTTATTTCAACTTAGAGTTCCATAGCATACTCTACGACCGAGGGAAGTCAGAACAGGAACTCAGGGCAGGAACCTGAAGGGAGGAGCTGATGCAGAGGTCGTGGAGGAGTGCTGCTTGCTGGCGTGCTCCTTATGGCTTGCTCACCACCTGCTTTCTTTTACAACTCCAGGACTACCTACCCCGGGGTGGCACCAAACGCAATGGGCTGCGCCTTCCCACACCATCAATCAAGAAAATGAACCCCAGGGTTTCCCAGAGGCTAATCTGGCAGAGCATTTTCTCAACTGAGGCTCCCTCTTCTAAGTGGACTATAGCTTGCTTCAAGTTGACATAAAACTAGCCAACACACCAAACTCTATGACCCCCACTCATAACAAGATAGCAGAATCACCCATATCTTGATATACTGAAATGTAGTGATATATCTCCAGATAGTGTAGCAGGTACAGCTATTGACTTTGAGGACTCTTCTTCCAAAGATGATAAAGGGTCTAGACTTAGGCGGGAAGTAAATAGCAAAAAATATCTGAGTCTTACAGAAGGTAATGTATATTTTCATTCTCACATTCAATGAATACATAGTGAGTGATGACCAGAGACTGGGCAGAAGCTAAGCACTATGGGTAAGGTGATGAATAAAGAACACAGACATTGTTTTTGGTCTCATAGAGCTTATAGACTAGAAAGAATCTTACAGAAAACTAAAGTTCTGTGCTTCCAGAAACTGCTGTGTTTTCACCCACACAAGACATACTGACAGTATAGTACCTGCCATGCTGTGTCTTAGGAGAAGTGAGTAACGTGCTGAGTAAAATCAGACACGATTCTTGCCTTCATGGAGCCTGCAGTCTAGTGAGGGAAACGTGAAATAATCACAGCACTAATGGTGTTTGCTATAAGAGCGGACACAGGGGGAAGTGGGCTTGACTGGATTAAGAGAGTCTAGTTTGATCAAGGACCACTTCGGTTGATATTTGAAGGGTATTAGCTTGGTAATGAAGGGAAGGAACACACATTTTGGGTAATCCAAACAGTATATGAGAAGATGTTGTAAAGGAGATGACCTGGAAGTCTTTGAGAGAGGCCAGTGTGGCTGTAGGCATGTCCTGCGTCTGATGGGTCTGAGAGGTAGGCAGGGTGTTGTAGACACAGAAGTTTAGAATCCTACATTGTGTTTTCTCAGTGGGTCTCTAGGTTAGTGCCTTAGGGCATGTAAGCCATGATGTGTGTGGGCCACAGAACTTTGAATCCAAGAGGCTTACTGCACCAGCAAGCAGAAACAAGACTGATCAGTTGTCAGCAATGGCCACTAACATCGTTGACCAGCTTCTTGCCACTTAACTGTGATATCAAAAGACTAACTTTTCACTTATTATTTATTTTTAAGGTATTTACATGTTTTTTTTTTTTTATTGTGTGTCTTAGTGAGAGTTGCTATTGTTATGATGAAGCACCATGGCCAAAGCAGCTGGGAAAGAAAAGGTTTATTTTCCTTATGCTTCCACATCACAGTCCATCATCACAGGAAGACAGGGCAGGAACTCAAACAAGGCAGGGAAGGACCTGGAGGAAGGAGCTGATGCAGAAGCCATGGGAGGGACTCTGCTTACTGGCTTGTTCCTTATGGCTTGCTCAGCCTGCTTTCTTATAGAACCCAAGACCGCCAGCCCAGGGATGGCATCACCCACAAAGGGCTGTGGCCTCCCTCATCAATCACTAATTAAGAAAATGCCCTACAGTCAGATCTTATGGTGGCATTTTCTCAATTGTGGTTCCCTCCTTTCAGATAACTCTAGCTTGTGTGTCAAGTTGGCATAAGACTAGCCAGCACAATTGTGTTTATATGATGTGTTTGCATGTGTGTTTGTATGATATGTATGTTTGCAAGTGCATGTGTGTGTGTGTGTGTGTGTGTGTGTGTGTGTGTTTAGGTCAGTAGACACCTAGTGGAAGTTGGTTCTCTCCTTCTCCCATAGCACTTCTACATAGCATTTATTCATAGTTCAGAATTCTGGTGGTCAGGCTTTGGGGGAAGGTGGGGACAAGCACATTTACCTTGTGATCCATCTTCTTGGCCCAAGAACATCTTTTCAGAACTTTGGTTCCAGAGTGCCCGTGTAGCAGAGGCACAGAAGGCCGTCCCGGGAGCCCATTCATTTTTCATTTGCTGCCTTTATGTTCTTCAGCTATTAAATAGGAACAAAAAGTGTTTTCTTTTCAAAGTCTGTACTTAGCACACTGCTTGACTCAGCAGCTATTCATTAAATTATAGCTATTATTTTTATCTGTTAAAAGGAGATGGCACTGATAAGTATTTTGAATTCCCGGTAATGGGTTTCTCCGCCGATGCAATAAGCCAGATCAAGCCGAATTAATAAAACCAGGTTTAATCTGAGCAAGGCACTCCCCGGTGATCTTGGGGAAAGAAGAGAAATCACACGGCAGGTCTATGGATCAGAGGTGGCAGGCTTTCTGAGGGGCAGGGTTTGGAGAGTGGGGAGGGGGGCACTAGCCCCAGTTACCTGCTTCTGTCTCCCTCCTCCTCTCTGTTCCTCCTCCTTCTCCCTCTCATTGTCTGTAGCCCTAACCGGCCTAGAACTTTTTGGGAACTCTCTATGTGGACCGGACAGGTCTCTAATTTGTGTAAATCACCCCTTTTATGCTTCCTGAGTGCTCGGATTAGACATGCAATCTTTTTAAATTTTTTTTTTTAATTTATTTTAAGGTAGGGTCTTCGTTATGTATCCCACTCACTCTGGACTCGAATTAGGGATCCTCCAGTGGCCATCCTCCCTAGTGCCAGGATTACAGGCCTGTTCGTCCAGTGCCGGATGTGAAGCCGTCTTGTTTTTGTAGATAGAATCCTACTTTTTCAGAGGCAAACCGAGTCATCGTCTGCCCAGTGCAGGAGAAATGCCTCGTGCATTCTGCTAAGAGCGGCCTCGCACTTTTCTCTTGGTTGGGGCTGCTCATTTTTAGGTTTATGGGTATTTTTCCGTTTGGCAATCTGAGAGCACCAGGCTGGGGAGCAAGCACACCCACCAAGCCCCGCCCGGGCCACCAAAGATCGCCGGGACTCAAGCGCTGGGTCGCCGCAGGGCGGACCAGCCAATCAGAAGAAGTTTGGCCCTCTGCAGTTTCCGTCCGCTCACTAGGAGGCGCTGCGGCGGCCGCGGCGGCCCGGGCTGTCGCGGGCCGGGGCGGTTGGGGCTGGTGGCTGCCGCTGTCGCGGCCATGGAATGGAGTTCCGAGTCGGCGGCCGTGAGGCGGCACCGCGGCGCCGCGGAGCGTCGGGAGGGACCGGCGGCCGCGCCGCAGCGGGAGAGAGAGGCCTCAGCGCGGGAGGATGCGAGCGGCGGCGGGCGGACGCGGAGGAGGAGCTCGGAGAGCGGAGGCGCAAGCCGGGGCGCGGGGACCGCGCTGTCCGAGGCGCGCACGGTGCTGGCGCTCGCACTCTACCTGCTCGCCCTGCGGGCGCTCGTGCAGCTCTCGCTGCAGCGGCTGGTGCTGAGCCGGACCGCAGGGCTCCAGGGCGAGTTCGACGCGCACCAAGCCAGGTACGGCCGACCGGCCCGGCAGCGCGTCCGCTGCTGCCTCAGGCGGGGGAGCCCTGGGTCCGGGAGGCCGGGGTCGGTGAGTCCCGCGCCCGTGAGCCCCGGGTCAGTGAGCCCTAGGCGGGTGAGTCTGGCGCCGCGGTGCCGGGCACTTGTATACTGAGTTCCGGGGTCCCTGGGCGCACGTGGGTGGGAAGTGGGATGGTCCTGCGCGTCCCTCTGGGTCTGAATTGCCGGTATCCGGGGCTTGCAGGCTCTCCCTTTCGCTTTCTCGGGGTGGCCAGGTGGATCGAGTCGGCTTTACCATCCACTCTGCCCCGATGTTAGCACGCCCCTGTCATCCGTCCTCCTCTCTTTCTGGAGCAACTTCCACTTCTTTTACTTCAGTCAGTTCTCTGAATTTAAAATGAGACGGGAGTAGGGTGTATGTAACCAAGACTACCTTCTTTATAAAGCCTTTTGGGGATGGTGTTGGAAAGGGGTGATGTAGTGTGCTGCCTTCCCAAGCACCCAGCTCCCAAATCCGAAAGCTGTGGACACTCCTTAGAGAACACTCATTCAGAATTTTGCCGACAGTTCTGAAGTTCGCAGATGGTCTGTGGCTCTTCTGTACTAGGGATTGTATAGTGTTCAACCTTTTTAAACGACCTCGGGTGTACATGGGAAGGTGAACTCTTTGATAGTGTAACTTGTGTCTTAAACCAGATGAATCCTTAGCCCGCAGAAAGTTTTTAACTGCGGCTGTGTTTTAAAAGCCACTTCTTTGGATGTAACGTGTTGGAAACTTATTTTCTTAACGGTTTTCCATGATTTTACTCATCATCGGTTTCTGCTGCTTAGACCCAGTAAGGAACAATCCGTAAGTGGCCTGTGAAGTAGTATTTTCCTGTCTAGCCTTCAGCAGTCACACATATTGAATATAAGCCCTAGTCTTGGTACTGATTTGATGTGGGGTCAATGGAGGAAAAAATGAAAGCATTAGTTCCTCGGATGCAATATGCAGTGATGAAACTTCCAGGTAATTTTCTTGGGATGTCTGAATTTTTTTATTTTTATTTTTTAAAGCGCCTTCAGTCCCGGCACTTGAGAGGCAGAGGCAGGCGGGTCTCTGAGTTCCAGGCCAGCCTGGTCTAGATAGGGAGTTCAAGGACAGCCAGAGACCATGTCTTGGAAATGGGGGAGGGTAGTGCATTTTTTTTTTCTTTATGTGAGAAGTCAGAAGAACTAAACTTTCTGAGGTAGGAGGGAAGCATAGTGGAAGTTGCTCCAAGATTTGTTCATTTTAAGTTTGCAAGAGAGTGTCATCATCATCCTTTTGATTTCTTCCAGGGATTATCTGGAACACATAACAGCCATTGGTCCCAGGACTACAGGAAGTGCCGAAAATGAAATTCTGACAGTGCAGTACCTTTTGGAGCAGATCAAACTGATTGAAGTACAAAGCAACAGCCTCCACAGAATTTCAGTAGATATACAAAGGCCCACAGGTTCCTTTAGCATTGACTTCTTGGGAGGTTTTACAAGCTACTATGACAACATTACTAATGTTGTGGTAAAGCTGGAACCCCGAGGTGGAGCCCAGCATGCTGTACTGGCTAACTGTCACTTTGACTCAGTGGCAAACTCACCAGGTATGTACTTGTTTTTTAGTCATTTATAATCACCACAGCCCAGAAAGTTTATAAACTTAGCCCTGGCCTGTTTGAGCAGTTGTGGGGACCATTTTTCCTAGACCAACACTTTCTCATTGTGATGGGAGGCAAGGTAATTAATATCAGTTTACAGTCTAACAATTTAATATTCTCTAAAGTTCATTATTATTATTACTATTGTTATTATAATTATTAAACAGTGCCCTACGAGCCCCATGAGAATACATGAGATGTTTTTGGTAGACTGAAGTAGCCTTATTCGTTTACCAATGCGTCTGTCCTTTTGTAAGTGCTTACACAGCCAGGGTTATAGTAGCCTTTGGGTGTACTGGGTAAAGGATCCCTGCATTTAAGGAGTACATGGTTTGGAGGACATTACTTCTAGCAGTTTCCGTCCACTGAGGATGTGACATACTGGTAGAATATTTAACATTATGCTCTGAGTAGACACTGGCAAGATAGAGAACTTGATGTGACTGACATAATGCATATTTGTCAAATCAGCGTGAATCCACTAAATTGAACTTTTTTTTTTTAATTTAACTTTTTATTGATTCTTTGTGGATTTCACATCATGCATCCCGATCCCACTCATTTCCCTGTTCCATCACCTCTACCCTGTAGCTGGAGCTATCTCCAGTCCTGCCCAGGGCCGGCAGCCACTCAGACCCAAATAAACACACAGACACTTACATTATTTAAACTGTTTGGCCTAATGGCTCAGACTTCTTGCTATCTAGTTCTTACATCTTAAATTAACCCATTTCTATCAATCTATAAGTTGCCACGTGGCTCGTGGCTTACGGGCACTTTACATCTTGCTTCTCCTGGTGGCGGCTGGCAGTGTCTCCTGACTCAGCCTTCCTCTTCCCAGACTTCTCCTCTCTCTTTGTCCCGCCTATACTTCCTGCCTGGCTACTGGCCAATCAGCACTTTATTTATTAACCAATCAGAGCAACACATTCACAGCATAGAGAACATCCCACAGCACCACCCCCTGCCCTTGCAACCTTACCACAAAACAAAATTTAAAAGTAAAACCAAAAAATAAAAATAAAATAAAACAAAAACACACACACGTACACACAAATCTCTTCATGGAAGCTGTACATGGCCCAGTGAGTCACACAGTGTACCCTTTAGTTCATATATCTTTACTTGGTAGTGTTCATTGCTATGAGTCATTGGGAACTTGTTTTTTGTTTGTTTGTTTCTTGTTGTTGTTTGGTTTTCTGAGACAGAGTTTCTCTGTGTAGCTTTGCGCCTTTCCTGGAACTCACTCTGTAGACCAGGCTGGCCTCGAACTCACAGAGATCTGCCTGCCTTTGCCTCTCGAGTGCTGGGATTGAAGGCATGCGCCATTGCTGCCCGGCCTTGTTGTTGTTTTTTTAATATAAGATTTCTCAGAAGCATATTTTCAATAGTTTGAATAGTTTTTTCATGTGTCCTGAGCCAGGCTCTGGGCCTCTTTCTCCTTGCAGTAGCACCAAAGAGTGCAAGCTGTATTGGCAAGGGTAATGGTAAGAAAAGCATTGGAAACTTTCCTTAGCTGTTTTATAGGGTATTGGTTGAAGTAAGTGTAGCCAAACTTAAACCAAAAGAGGCATTATGCTTCCACCTTAATCTCAGGGAAGAGCATTATAGTCAACAGCAGTAGCTTGGAGGTAGAGAGATTCAGTTTGCTTGAAAGTTGGAGATCAAGTTTGCCCAGAATGTGGAGGTACTGATGTAGTTGCGGACTACAAGGATTCTCTCTTGCTTTTTAAAAAAAATATGTATTGATGAAATATTTATTTTATTTATGTGTGTGTATCTGTGTGTTTGTATGCCCACATATGTGTGGGTGCACTTGGAGGCCAGAAGAGGGTGTCAGATTCCTTGGAGCTAGAGTTTAGGCATCTGTGAGCAGTGGTACTGATGCGGATTCTGGCATCTGAACTGGTCCTCATGATGGAGCAGCAAACTCTCTTAACTGCAGAGCTCCAAGGATTTGTTTTTGTTTTCCAAGACAGGGTTTCTCTGTGTGGCCTTGGATATCCTGGAACCCACTCTGTCGGCCAGGCTGGCCTTGAACTCAGATTCTCCTGCCTCTGCCTCCCAAGTGCTGGAATTAAAGGCGTGGGCCACCACCACTGCCTGGCTCCAAGGACTATTTTTTTTTTTTTTTAATTTGGAGATGGTGATGTTTTTGGAAAGTATATAGAGTGAAACAAAAATCACTATTGAAATGATAATATCTGAAGTCTGCTCATTGTACTTAAGTCCTGAAATCTTTTATCATGTAAGTAAATTTCCATTACTCTCTTACAAATGGCCTCATGTCTAAAAACCAATAACTTGCATTATCTCTAAAATTTCTTCTTTATATAATCATGTAAACATTCACAAATAAAACATGCAAAAAAAACCAAAAAAAACCAACCAAACAACAACAACAAACAAAAACCCCAAAACCAGCTAACATAGGCAGGTAAGAATAGAAAGTAGAGCTTTACAATGGCATCCTGAGATTTTAGACTTAAGAAGACTCCTTTTCTGGCTGGTCACCTCTGATCACACAGAGCTGGGGTAGATGCTGGGCCTCCTGGCCAGGAGGAGAATATCTAAGTATCATTAGGTCTTCTTGGGCTTATTGCCTAACTTATTCTTTAACTTTTTAACTGTTAAACAGAAAAATGATAGTTAATTTCCTAATAGTGTTGCTCAAAGGATTAAGTGTAAGCAAAATATTACGATAGCATCTCTCAAGGAAAATCTTCCTTGATAACAATTATAACAGTACTTATTTCTGGATTACTTGAATGTATAGCAGGCCCAATATAACCATCTAGAGTTACATAAGACATAAACTAGCCTTAACTTGATGAAACAATTTTGTGACTGGACATTTCTTTGTATTTAGAATATATGCTTTGCTTTTTCAGAAATCAGTATCCACACATTCATTTTTAAAAAGGCAGAAGTGCCTTAACTTAATGCTAGGGACACTAGACAAGGCCACCCTGTGCTCATTATTAAGATGCTTAAATTGGAAAGGGACACATAATGCTGTGGTTATTTAAGAGCATTGTATTAGAAAGACTGGATATATAGATATCAAACAAATGTAGAAACACCCTAATTTTTTTTCTTTACCTCTCATAATTCTTATGTGGAATGGATGGATCCTTGTAAGAAAAGATAAATAAGAAAAAGCAGACATGGCTATTCCATGTGCAGATATACCAAGGAAAATGAACCATTTCAAAGAGGTGCTTCAGCTCTCTGGCTTAAATCGTGTTGTCATCAAAGAACAAAACTTCTTTTGAAAAGTGACAAGACAAAGGGAAAGAACTAGGTGTGGGGTGTAGCTTAGTAGGAGAGTGATTGCCTGGTCTGTGCAGCACCAAGTTCCATCCTTAGTGCTGGGAAAAACCCAAATCGAAGCAGAAAAGGGGAAAGGACCTGGAGTCTGCGGGCAGCAAATTGTGGAGCTGACATGTATGGGAAGGAAAGCCTAGTAGGAGAGCTTGCCCTCTGTAGGCTCTTCAGGGTCTAAGGTTGTCTTTGAAGATTGACCTTCGTTCTTCCTGGTAGAGGGGGAGGAACACCTGCATAGGCAAATGCTTTTAGGCAAATGGGAGGAGGGCAGAGAGCCTCACTGTATTTCCTTCTGGATTTCTGAGTGCCAAATAGCCTTGTGTTCAGCTAACATATTTTGAATGACATTTTTTGCTGCTCTTCACATAGTGCCAGGTGTACAGCTTACATGTGGTGTCCACTAATGAAAAGATTCTTTGGAGAGCCATTAGAATGCCCCCCCCCCCTTTTATACAGGGTCTCTTGAACTGGTCTCATACTTGCTATGTAACTGAGGATGATCTTGAATTTTCTGATCTGAGTGTCCCACCATGCATGGTTTAATTGACTAAAAGAGACTTTTGGTTCTTTTCAGATTGAACCTGTGGCTTCCTGCATGCTAAGCAATGCTCTGTTTCTAGTTTAGAAATAATTTTTTTTTTTTTTTTTTTTTTTTGGTTTTTCGAGACAGGGTTTCTCTGTGTAGCTTTTCGCCTTTCCTGGAACTCACTTGGTAGTCCAGGCTGGCCTCGAACTCACAGAGATCCGCCTGGCTCTGCCTCCCAAGTGCTGGGATTAAAGGCGTGCGCCACCACCGCCCGGCCTTAGAAATAATTTTTACCTAAAATTTTATAGTACACATACTGATAGTGTGAAAGAAATACCTACTAATAATAAGCTAAGAGTAGCTTTTCACCCACTCGCCAAATTCAGTTTTCAACTGAATCCTTTCAGTGGATGAACCCATTGAAACAAGAGTGAGTATTTATGTATGTGTGTGCACGTGCTGGAGCTGGAACCTGACACCTGTACTTGCTGGGCAAATGCTCTACCACTGAGCTGTAGACATCCTGAACAGTGTCGTCTAGGGTGGCCTGAGTCTTACCAGCAATTCTGCTTTAGCCACCCAAGGCCTGGGCCTGAAGGCCTTCAGAGCTCTGTTTGTTTTCCTGTGAGTATTATTTTAAAGTTCTCAGCAATGTATCTGGACTCAGGAATTGATACCAGTTAGTAGTAATGTTACCTATAGAAGACCTCATTTATCGTCTCAGGTCTGCTGTGTGGTGCCAGCTCATTGGTAAAAGAGACATTTGAGTTATTTTGGGGTGGCTTCAATTTCAGGGTTGATTCTAAATGGAAAGGGATGTCAGTTAATCACTCAGCTGTTACTGTCCTCTGACTTTCACTTTCTTAAAGATATTTTGACCCTTTCCTGGGTCTTTTCTAAGACACTAGAACCATTAAAATAGGGGAATATGAAGGGGGAGTTAAATTTGTCAATCAACCGTATAAAGGTAAATGTTTTTCAATTTCACTTTTACTTTGAATAAAGAAAAGTGTTACTGTTTGCTTTTTATTTTTAAAGAACAGTTTCAAATTAAAAAGAAAATATTTCCTCTGTTTTCTGAAAAGTGGTACACATTAGCTATATCAGCTTATACTCCCTGCTCTAATTAATAGTAATCAAGTAGCCATTATTTTGTTTCACTCTGACTAATGACTAAAATACAGTCCAATAATCACTAAGAGAGGCATCATTAATATTGTTTCTTTTTGAGCAGAAGTGAGGGTTAGAATTTAACAGAGCCTCAAAGCAAGCATTTTATTTTTCCTGGTTACAGAGCCTTCCCTAAGTTTTCAAAGAGAAAGAAGGAAACTAAGGTGGGATATTTCCCAAGGGCCAGGCAATGGGCGTTGTCTTGTATAATCTGTACAAAACCTGTGAGGTGGAGCCGGGTCTGCGTCCTAGACCAGGAAGTAGTAGATGACACTCTGCTCTCAAGTCCCCACTGAGGGCTGTAGCACCGTGTTTCACCGTGCCTCACCGTGTGTGTGGACACCCGGAAGTGCTCCTGCCTGAGTGAGGGTAGTGCTTACTTACTCCAGATGCCTTTTAAACTCCGTTAGGAGAAAAATCAGCTCTCTGGAAGACAGACTTGTTTATTGACCCCCAGTGTGCCTCCCGCTCTCTCCCAGTCCAGTCTTCTTTCCTGCTGCAGCCCTCCTCCTACTTGGTTATTTTGAAGTGGCTCTCTGCTGCATTGGCTCCTCTGTATTTCAATCTGCCCTGGTGAAGGATGAGGACCCTTTTGAATGCTAGCAATATCATGAGCTACTTCACTTAGAAAACGTAGCGATAACTTTTTAGTGTCGTCAAATAGCCAGTTAGTTCCTTTAACTACCTCTCACAGTGCTTTTGAAGTCAGCACATGGGGCCCAGCAAGATGGCTCAGTGCTTAAAGATGCCTGCCACCAAGCCCAGCTGCCTGAGTTTGGACCCACTGATGGAAGGAAAGAATGACCTCTCCAAGAGCGTCCTCTGACTTGCATGTGTGCATAGTGGCAAGTGTCGTGTCCCCACCCCACCCCCGCCTGCACACAAAATCAGTCCATACAAATGTCAAAATAATGGATTTCATTATTCTAAAAAATCAGAGCACTAGAGCTCTTTTTATAGTCTTTAATCAATGTGATTATCTGATGGAGAGCTGGAGTATTGGACTGAGTGCTGTACCTTTTCAGTGCTGTGGCAGGCCCAGTCAGCAGTTCCCTCTTCTGCGTCCTGCCGTTCAGGGGCTGCCTTTGTGCTTTTCCAGTACTTCATCCCTTCAGAAAAACCTTAGAAAGTGTTACTCCCCTCAGTGTAAACTTCCATCACAGAGAGTTACATCCTCTGTAAACATGAAGTGTTGCAGCTTTTGTGATTTTGAAAGTCAGGGAAGGGGTAGAGTGGAGGAAGCCATAGTACCAGAAGTGATAGCATCCCAGAGGATGGTGGAAGAGGATAAATTCCATGTGTCTGTGCTCCTAGCTGGTTAACGTATCAGCACAGCTATTGAGTGGGTATTGATTGTGTCATGGAGCAGACTAGGATCTTAACGGGCCTTGTCTCTGTCGGGCGTAGTTGTCACCCCACGATGACAGTTATGCTTCTGATCATGCAGCTGTCATGATGCTTCTCTGAGGGGAAAGCTGCATTCCACACCAGTGGTGGAAAGTACCGAAACTGAGAAGTGAATCTGTTTTTCTGACGCCAAGGTGCCAGTGATGATGCAGTCAGCTGTGCAGTGATGCTCGAGGTTCTCCGAAGCATGTCAGTGTCGTCAGAACCCTTGCAACATGCTGTGGTGTTTCTCTTCAATGGTGCTGAGGAAAATGTCTTGCAAGTAAGGTTTTATTGTTTTAAATATTCGAGCTGGTAATAATGAGAGTAATAATGATTGGTAATGATGTGTTTTATTAGTAATATAAGTAATGTCATTAAATAATATGTAAAACCAATACTGTACTTAGCAGTACTTTAAAAATGTCCATGAATGCAGACATGCTCAGTATGTTAGAAATGCAACTGAGAACAGCTCATCTTGCTAGTATATGATGCTTTTGTTTATTTTCACTTTTTGTTTGTTTGTTGTTGTTTTTTTATGGTTTTTTTCCAAAGACTATTTCTTTGGTAGCCTTGGCTGTCCTAGAACTAGCTCTGTAGACCAGGCTGGCCTCAAACTCACAGAAAACCGCCTGCCTCTGCCTCCTGAGTGCTGGGATTAAAGGTGTGCGCCACCACTGCCTGGCTGTTTTCACTTTACTTTTTGAAACAGGGACTTGCTGTGTCTCCCACGATGGCCTGGTACTTGTGATCTTCTCGACTCAGCTTTCTGAGTGCTGGGATTACAGCCATGTGCCACTATGCCCAGAAAAGGGTTTGATTCAAGGGGCTTTTTAATGTTATAATTACTCTCTTCTGACTTTTAACCTTCGAGTTTCAGAGAGGTGATTTGAGGAAGGTACACAGCAGAAATGCCCAACTATATGGATTGCCTCTCCTGTATTTTCCTTTTTTAACTTTTGCATATTCTCACAGTGACTTCCCACTTGGCCAACCGAGCACCATTTATACAGGATGATGCCTTAGAGTCTGCCTTTGAGAAATGTTTATTTTGCCCTCATAGTCCCCACCTTTCCAAGATAGCCATTCGGTCATGCAAATAAGCAATATAAAAACCTATTTCAACCTACATTTCTTTCTCTCCTCATTAAGGCCAGTCATGGTTTTATTACTCAGCATCCCTGGGCCAGTTTGATTCGTGCATTTCTTAACCTGGAGGCAGCAGGTGTCGGAGGGAAGGAACTTGTATTCCAAACAGGTATGTGAGGCTGTGCGCTGAGCATTTCAATGCAATTCTAATTTCATGACAGTGGAAAGTTTTTCAGGTCAGTAATCTCTTTAATGAGCACTCTCTGGAATGAGATTTATTTTTAAGATGTGAGCTAATTTTAATTTGTCTTTGTGGAATTTTTTTGGTATGTACGTGTGTGGTATATGCACATGTTTGTATGGGTGTACGTGTGTGTGTGTGTGTGTGTGTGTGTACATGCTTGTGGTAGCTAGAGGTGTTGATATCTATCTGGTGTCTTCCTCAGTTGCATTCTATCTTATTGAGACATGGCCTCTTGCTGAACCTGGAGCTCACCCATTCAGCTAGGCTGGCTGGTCATTGAGCTCCAGCAGTCTTCCTGCCTGTCCTTGTTAATTTTTTTAAACAAAATAATGTGATCAGCATGGGGCTCCTGTATAGTGCTTATTATATGCAAATGTTATTTGAAACATCTTATGTACATTAAGTTAGTTAGTTTTCAAAGCAACCTGAGGAGTACATACCGCTATACTTCTACTTTATAGATGAAGATAGAGACGGCAGAATTTAACTTGTAAGCTTTTATGGTTGATATAGCGTGGTATAGGAACCTGAGTGATTCAGGCTCAGACTTGGTTCCGAGCCAGTAACTGGATTGTGGTATGTGCTGGTCGTCTCCTCTATTGTTTCGACAACACGACACAAACTGGAGTTAACTGGAAAGAGAGAATCTCAGCTAAGGAACTGCCTCCATCAGACTCGCCTGCGGGCATGTCTGTGGGGATTTTCTTGATTAATGATTGATATGGAAGGGCCTAGCTCACTGTAGGTGGAACCACACCTGTGCAGGTAGTCCTGAGTTTTATAAGAAGCAGGCTGAGCAAACCACAGAAAGCAAGCCAATAAGCAGCCATTCCTCCATGGCCTCTGCTTCAGATTTTGCCTCCAGGTTTCTAACTCGAGTTTCTACCTTGGCTTCTGTTGTGATGGACTCTGTAACCTGTAAACTAAATGAACCCATTTCTCCCTGCAAGTTCCTTTTGGTCAGTGTTTTATCATAGTAGCAGAGAAGCAAATGAGAACATCATATAAAATGTAATAAAAATATGTAATGCTTTACATTATAACAAAAAAATGTAATAAAAATAATATTTAGCGGGGCGGTGGTGGCAGCACTTGGGAGGCAGAGGCAGGAGAATCTCTGAGTTTGAGACCAGCCTGGTCTACTGAGGGAGTTCCAGGACAGCCAGGGATACACAGAGAAACCTTGTGTCAAAAAACCATTAAAAAAAAATCACCATCGTATAATGGTGAGTGTTATTTTTATTGATTATGGATGATTATAAGGGATTTGTTGTGTATCAGGCATGGGTGTTCACATGGGTCCATGGAATCGACATAGAGGCACCTCAAGGATGATTCTTAGCCTTTTCCAGCTGCAGGGGGTATTGTCTCTCCAGACTGAACCACTGTAGCTTAGCAAAGGGCCCGTTTATTGTTATACAATTCACATCTTTAACAAGTTAATTTCTACCCAAAACCTCTTATCTAAGCCCCACAAAGGGACAATGCCGAATGCAAATTCTCAGTAAAGGAATACCACAGTACTCTGGATTGTTCCTAAACCAAGTCTGCATAGGCTTTGAATCCCTAGGAAACTTAGATAAGACTTCAAGCAGGAGGTAAGGAGACAGGAGGTAGCAATCACAAAAGGCAGATCCAAGCTAGGTGCTAACACTCTGGAATCTAACCAGTGGCAGCTCTTCAGGAATTCCCCCAACAGGGATTTAAAATGATAATTATTAATTAAAATGAGAAATTTTACCCACAGTTTAAGGAATTTAGTTCCATCACTGAATTCTTTTGAAAAAATCAGAAGTGGAGAGCAACCATTTCTATTTAGTAGCTCTCTGGTAATTATATTTAATAGCTGGAGAGAGTTTAAATTTTAGGCTGAAGCTTTCCTGAAGATGAGACGATATAGTCAATAAATACCATATCCTTGTTATCCTGGTAGAACCTAAAGCTCACAGATTTGCTCAGCCAAGGCCTGTTAAGACCTGACGTTGGAAAGTCCGTCTCTTGTCCTGCCTCTGCTAGAAATTTGGACAAAGCATCACTAAGTTTTAGCCACACACAAAGCTTCTGCAAGAGCTGCTTTTGTGTTGATGTTTTAGTCAAGACGGTCTTACTTGGTATCCCTGGCTGCCCTTGAACTCTTGATCCTTCTGCCCCTACCTTCAGAGTGCTGGGATTATAGCCATGTCCTACCATGCCTGATTTGCTAGGAGTCTTAATGGTGAGTAGTGTTTTGGGTGAGATGGGCTAGAGGAAATGACTAAGGTGATAGAAACTTACTTTGTAGCACCTTTAAAAGACATGGTAGTGCTTACGTTTTGAAATTACACTAAGTACTAAGTGTTTTTTGTAACCTAAGCAGTACCATATTTCAATACTCTCTCAAACTTACTTTATACTCTTAACATTAAAAATAGATCTGTATTGTGCTTCAGTTACACCTTTAAGAAATTCAGGGTTGCCAGGTTGGTGGTGTAGGTCTTTAACCCCAGTATGTGGCAGGCAGAGATGGCGCTCTCTGAGTTCCAGGTCTGCATAGGGAGTTCCAGGTCAGCCAAGGCTACATAGCCATAGCCTTGATTCAAAAAGCACACACACACACACACACACACACACACACACACACACACACACACACACACACAGAAATTCAAGGTCACAAGGTGAGATACAGCAAGTTTTTTTAGCTCTCAAATTTTTCTATTTTCTCTTTAATCAGCAAGAAGTAGCTGAACTCTAACATCTATAGGGATAGGTAGCAGCTATCCACCCCCTCCACCTCCAGCTTCTTGGCTCTCATCCAGGATAGGAGGAACATATTCAACAGCTACCAAATCAGAGCGGAGCAGCAGAGAACTCCAAGGAAGGAGAACAGTGAGTCTCACATGCTGGGAAAATCTCAAGCTCTGGTAGAGCAGCAGCCTGTCTTATAGATTTCTCCTGCCAGAAGTGCACTCTAACTCATGATCCCAGCACCCCATTCTGTGCTCCACTAACCAGAGATAACACCACTGCCTGGAGATGGATGCCCAGCTCTCTTGTGGTGCTGTCTTCTAGAAAGCACATTAGTGTTTCCATGTTTGACAAGGAGGCCAGCAGATGTAGATTGAGAATGTGTGCCAGATGGCTGTCCTCAGCTTTTTTTTCTGTGTAGTGAAACTTGTCCTGTCCTGGCTTTTCAGATAAAACAGTGTGTACTCTCCAGAGCTCCATCGTCACTTCAGAGGGAAATACTCATTTGGGGAGCTTTTGGTGGCTGGAATGATCATTCTTACTTAATGTCAGAAACAGTGGCATATCAGACCAGCACTTTAGTAAGTCAGGAAGGCTTGTTGACATCATTTTTGAAGGTGTTAATAAAATACAATCCTGTAAAATTTAAACAGATTTAAACCATTAATATATTTTTCATTTTGAAAAATCCAAGCTCTACCAACTGAGAACAAGAAATCTGTAAGTAAAACACTCATGCCTTTGCAGCACTCTGAGCAAACCAGTGTTATAATTTGCTCTACATCCTTCTGGGATTTTTTAATAATGTAGATGTATGCACATGAACACTGACATTGTTGTTAGGGAATGTTGGCATTCAGACCCACCCCTTGGGAACCCACGCAGCATCCTGACCATGTCATCCCCTTTAAGAGAAAACTCCCCCCCGTTTCTTTCTATTCCCATGAGGTATGCACCTCCATTCTTCATTCCCCCTCTCTCTCCCTTCCTCTCTCCCTCCCTTCCCTGCTCTCTTCCCCCAATAAAACTTTCCACGTGGATGCCATGTTCCCTTGACCGCTGCCGCCGCCGTGGCGTGTCTCCTTGGCTCAAACTCACCAAGGCCTCTTGAGCGCCATTTCACAACAATTATTTCCTTAAAAATGTGATAATATTTTGTAACTGTTTCCTTCTTTAGAATATATATATTTAAATCATGCCTTAATATATATCAAGATATAATTTAAATGTCCTATAGTTCACCAACTTAAATGGTAAAATTCAGTGGCTTTCTTTTTAGGTGTTTCTACATGGCTGTGTACCACTATCATAGTTCTGGAGCATTTTAAGGAAAGGTTTATTTATGTGTGTGTACTCATTCATGCCTGTGAATGTGTGTGCATTCTCTGTGCAGGCACCCAAAAAGGTCCAAAGAGGTCATAGGATCCCTTGGAGCTGGAGTTCCAGGTGTTTGGGGGCCCCTTGACATGGGTGTTGGGAACTGAACTCTTGTCCTCATGAGCAGCAAAACTCTAACCACTGAGCAATCTCTCCAGCTCCTAGAACATTTCTCCTCACTCCTGAAAGAATCCCCGTGCTCATCCATTTCCTCTGTGCCGCCAGCCACGTGTGGGTATGTTGAACAGAGCTTTCTGATTAACCTTGTATTGTGTTGTCTCCTTTCATTTCAGGCCCTGAAAACCCTTGGTTGGTCCAGGCTTATGTTTCAGCAGCCAAACACCCTTTTGCTTCTGTGGTGGCTCAGGAGGTTTTTCAGAGTGGAATCATTCCTTCCGATACTGACTTCCGAATCTACAGGGATTTTGGAAACATTCCAGGTATTCTGTCAGCGGTCCCAGGCTGTTGTGTCAAAAGCAGACTTTACTTCTTGAACATTGGAGTAGCTTCTGAGAGGACACTGTATGTGAAAGCTTTATCTTCTGACTCACCAGAGTAGAGTTCTTGATGCTCTCTTTCAAAAACCCATAGTAACGGAAATGCTACCTGTAGGCTGGTGTGTACCACGGTGTGGGAGATGGAGAGAACGGGTTAGCACTTCATCCCCAGAGATGCCAAGGATCCTCAGGGTCTTGGACTCCCACCCTGTTGTCTTACCTTTCCAACTCCTTTGGTGACTTATATAGTTTATTTGAACTGTAAATCTTGCTCTTAACTGCCTGAATTCTATTCCCCAAACTTTCTTCCCTAATGTGTGACTTAAAATGCTTCTTTAATTATTATGTTTTAAATTATAGACCATAGTTACAGATTTTGTAAGAACAGAAAAGGGTTTATGACATCATGAATATGACAGACATTTAACCTCCTGCTTTGCCATTTGGTCTTTTAGAATTTAATATGTTAAACAGGCCTAACACAAGTCTGATCTTTAAAGTAAGATGACTTTTTCCATTGTTTGTCTTAGGAATAGACTTAGCTTTTATTGAAAACGGATACATATATCACACCAAGTACGACACAGCGGACAGAATTCTCATAGATTCCATTCAGAGAGCAGGTTGGTATTAACAGGTTTGACTTTTGACATACAGTGATGGAATAGCTAGAAAGTACATTCTATAGCCTGTGTGGTTGAATGAGTTAGATTTGGAGTTGGGAAGATTAGGGCTTGAATTTTAGTCTTTACTGTCTGACTTAGCAATTAAAAACTTAGAAAGTCACTGTGATTACTCAGAAAGGAGTGACTCAGGGCTGTGGCAAGGATGCTGCTTGACCGTGAGGGTTTGAAAGGGGTGGTTCCAGGTCTGTAGGGTTGTTGAGTAGTAAAGAATGTAGCTGAAGTGAGAGCTGTGAATTGGAGGTAGTATTGGGACATGGGTTTGTTGCACCAGCCGAGAGTAGAGAATGGTAACAGGGGCCCATGCCAGGGTGCACAGAGGACAGATGAGGTACTTACCCAGCGCAGTGTTCCGGTTCTTCCCAGAGATCTAGAGGCGTTAGGGAGGCAAACCTGAGCCTGAAAGAGTTGATAGGGGATTTGGCCTGTGGAGAGAAGATGATCTTTTAAGAGCACAGCATGGGGAAGGAAGAAATGGGGGTGGGGCGTGGGTGTGGAAGACTCTCGGACTAGAATGAAATATTTTCAGAAGTAGAAGATAAGGTTGAAGGAAATGGGGGAAGGAAATTATAGATGACTTAAAAAACGATCAAGGATTCAGTGGTAGGGTGCTGCCTAACATGTGCGAGGCCCTGGATTCCAACCCTGGCATAAAACAAAGAATGGTTGATGAGCTAGCTCAGCAGATCCAGGCACCTGCTGTCCAACCTGACAAGCTGAGTTTGATCCCTGGGACTCACGTGGTGGAAGAGGAGAACCAGCTTGGGAAAGTGTCCCTCTGACCTCTAGATATGTGCAGGGGGTGCAGCACCCCAATAAATAAGAGTGTGATTCCAAAGTTTTTAAATTCAGAAATAAGCTAAAGGAATAGGAATCCTTGCAGGTCTGAGTCTATAAGTGAACTCATTAAGGTGATTTTAGGTGTTATAGGTCTGGCAATATAGTATGGGGCAGAGGGTGAGGAGTTCGCATTCTGACGGTCATTTCAGCGGATAAGAAGAGCCTTGACCGGTGTTGACAGAAGATGAAGATAGGAACAATGGAAGGGGTGCTGGGGGAGAGGGAGGGAGGGAGAGGGAGAGAGACGGGGAGGGGGAGAGGGAGAGAGAGGGAGGGGGAGGGAGAGGGAGGGAGGGAGAGGGAGAGAGAGATAGAACCTTCCCCTCTTCGTGGACATAGTTCTGTCAATCTGGACAGGCTCTTTTTTAGCTAGGTCCTATCATTATTACTTACTGTGTAGCCCAACTGCTTAGTACTTGTCAGCTTCCGGCCTCTGCTTCTAGATGCTGGGATCACAGGCATACATGACCACACCTGGCTCACCTTTTAAGGTTTTAAATTTTTAATTTTTTTGTTGTTATTGTTTTGAGGTAGGATTTCTCTATGTAGGCCAGGCTGGCCTGGACGTTGTCATCTCTGCGCTCTGACTACATGTGCTTTTTACGGTTATTGTTCTGGTTTGTCACCCTGAAGTCCTGGGGACCAAACCCAGGCCTTGTGCATGCATTTTAGGAAAGCACCGTTTCACTGGTCCCAGAACCACCTCTCCAGCCCTTTTTAGAAAAAACTGGTTTTGGCTTATTTTTGTTTAAGAGAAGGTCTTGTTGTGTAGCTCAGGCTAGCTTTGAACTTGCTGTGTGACCTAGGCTGGCCTTGAATTCACAATCATTCTGCCTTTGCCTCCCCTTCCTAATACTTCTTTTTTTTTGTTGGTTTTTCAAGACAGGGTTTCTCTGTAGTTTTGCACCTTTCCTGGAACTCACTTTGCAGACCAGGCTGGCCTCGAACTCACAGAGATCCTCCTGCCTCTGCCTCCCGAGTGCTGGGATTAAAGGTGTGCTCCACCACCGCCCGGCCCTAATACTTCTTAACATGCTTTAACAACTTGTTCTGTGCTGACCAGCTTCTCAAGAGGCTTTTTTCTATCACACCCCTGAATTCTGGCCTTTAGAACTGGGTCTCCCGAGGCTACAGTGTATCCCCCAAGCAAGGCCTGAGCAGAGCTTTGGCATTGTTCACTCATCTTAGGGAATAGCTCTAACAGAGGGCCAGGGCTGAGCTTCTAAGTGGAGAGGAAGAAGAGCAGGAGCAGGGCCTTACCTAGGAAATTTGGTAAGAAACGGGGAGAGCAGTGCATGGTAGGAAGGGTGCCTGCTCACATTCTTCCCAGGCACTTGTATTTCCGATTGTGCCTGATCTATTTTTGCTTTACATGGCTGTATGCAAGTCACCATCCACTCGTTTACTAGACCTTCTTATCTTTGTTACTAAAAGGTGACAACATTTTAGCAGTTCTTAAACACCTAGCTACATCCGACATGCTGGCATCTTCGTCTGAGTATCGGCATGGAAACATGGTCTTCTTTGATGTGTTTGGCCTGCTTGTCATCGCGTACCCTTCTCGTGTTGGCGCAATAATAAACTACATGGTAGTCATGGCTGTTGTTCTGTACCTGGGGACAAAACTGCTGCAGCCCAGACACAGGAGTAAGTATTTCCTTCTAAGGTGTGGAGACTGGAACGGGGTGGGATTTGCTGGAGAGATTTCAGCTATTGTTTTTGTTTCTTCCCAAGAAGCACAGCATCTTAGGGAATAGTGCTTGATTTATATTTTTAAAAATTCCTAGATGAGTATTGAATTGGTATGCTCATAATACTTTCAGGGTTGGTGAAGTCAACCATTTTTATTCACTCACCCTGAAACGGGTAAAATTAGCTGATTTGTCTGCCTTAGCCAAACTAATGAAAGGCAGAGCCAAATAAGGCCAAAGACCTGTTACACGGTGCAATACCCATGCCGTGCAGGGGTCTGTGGGTAGATACCCTGTGCCATGCGGGGATCTGTGGGTAGATACGCCGTGCCATGCGGGGATCTGTGGGTAGATAACCCTGTGCCGTGTGGGGATCTGTGGGTAGATACCCTGTGCCATGCGGGGATCTGTGGGTAGATACCCTGTGCCATGTGAGGATCTATGGGTAGATACCCTGTGCCATGCGGGGAATCTGTGGGTAGATAACCCTGTGCCGTGTGGGGATCTGTGGGTAGATATCCTGTGCCGTGTGGGGATCTGTGGGTAGATAACACTGTATTCCTTGGCCTGTCTGTCACCCATGACTCTCACAGTTGTTAGTCTTTTGTTATATAAATTACTAGTAATACTGAAACAGAACTTCAATATTGTAAACGATACAAAAAGAGGTGTTCATGTGTATCTCTCAGGAAAAATTAGAAACTGTTAGAATGTTTTCCCTACTTATTAGTAATAAATTTTAATATTTCTTGAAATTCAGTAATATTTTATACTATTTTCAACTCTATAACCCATGTTAAAAGTAAAATTTCATACAACCAAAAAGAAATAAAAGGTTTGTAGAAGTTCCCTTTTTATTTTTTAAACATATTTATGTATTTTGTGGATGTGGGTGTGGGCACAGGCACAAGTATGGAAATCAGGGCAGCTTGTGGGAATTGACTCTCTCCTTCCACCATGTGGGTCCTAGGGGTCACACTAAGGTGGCCTGCTGAGCTATCCTGCTGGCCCTGTAGATTGAATGTTAGTGAAAGGTCCCGGTAAGTCCGCTACAGGCCATCATCACAGTCCAAAAGATGGATGCATTGCTTCTGGCTAAACTGTTCCCTTCTGCCTGAATCATTTCTGCTCAAAATGTTTCAGAGTCTAAATTGTTGTATGTTATTCAAGGTAAGTTTTTAGCAATTTAAATAATTCTCTATCGCCAGTTTTTTTCCCTGTCATTGTTTTCCAATGTTAGCATCTTTTAAAACATTTTTCCATTTACTCATCTATTTGTGTAAGTGCATGTGGGGGTGGTAGTGTCCATGGAGTATATGTCAGTGCACAGCTTGTGGGCTTCAGTTCTGTGGGGTCAGGGAATTGCACGCAGGCTGCTCAGCTTGTGTGGCCAGTGTACGTACCTGCCGAACCATCCTGCCAGCCCTGTTCTGCTTACTGTCTTTTAGCAAGAGTTTATGTGGAACTTTGCCTTTTAAAAATCCTTGCTAATATTTGGATAAACAAAGCATCCCCAAAACGATGATTTCCTCCTCTTTCCCTGGTAAGGAGGCTGTCAGAATCGCTCTTGTGAGTTAATATCCTTGGACTCTCAGTGTTCCTTGATTGGCTTCCTTTACTCTTATCCCATTCTTGGGTTTGACAGTTCTCTACACCAGGACATTTCAATGTTTTCACTTACAGTAGTGAATGTTTTGTTTTCCTGTTCGCCCCTTTAGCACGGGCTGGTTGTGGAATTGAGTTGATGGAGCTGGTGACATTAGCTCTGTTTTCCCTTGCTTAGATGCTGACTACACGCGAGACTTCCTGTGCGGACTTGCCATCACCTTCGTTAGCTGGTTCACCAGCCTTGTCACCGTTCTCATCATAGCAGTGTTCGTCTCCCTCATCGGACAGTCTCTCTCGTGGTACAACCACTTTTATGTGGCTGTTTGCCTGTATGGAACTGCAACCGTGGCCAAAATCATACTCATACACACCCTTGCAAAACGATTTTATTATGTGGTAAGTGGTGTGTGTTTGTTTTCTTTTTGCTGCTTTCAAGAATAGAAGACAAAGAAGTGAAATTTATTGTGCCTGGTCTTTTAGAACTATTAGAAATTGTTCAGCATGGTTATAGAAAATGCTGCCATGGTGTTAATTTCCTGGCGTTTTCTTATTCTGAGAATTGGGATGCAGAATTCAAGTGAATTACAAAGCTGTGTTTTCCGCAGTGTTTAGAGTGGTGTGATGGTGAGGCTTGTGTGGCTCTCTGCATCCGCTGTTGTTTCTGTAACTGTGTTTCCATTCACCAACCCATACTGGTCCACTCAGTTACCCATGTGTGACTATCACTGTTCTCTTCTGGACTGTAAGGCTGATGTTGGTGGCATGGCTGAAGTCTGCTGCATCGCCTGTACTTAGGCCATTGTGTACTTAGGCACAACTTGACACAGCGAGCACTTCCCTAAAAGAACAATGCATTTAAAATTTTCTCAGTGGTTTTCCTTGCTTTTTGAGATTATATCATTTTCCCCTTCCCTTTCTACCTTCTAATCCCTCCCATATACCCCTTCCTTCTCTTTCAAATTCATGGCCTCTATTTTCATTGGTTGTTGTTACGTGCATGTAAGTATATCTTCATAATATATCCTTTTGTTTAGTCTATGTACTGTTAATCACATATGTTTTTATAGAGTTGGCCATTACTATTGGATAGCTAATTGTGCTCTTCCCTAAAAGACTATTTTTCTCCCAACATTCCTCAGTGCCTATCATTCTCTGTGTAGGGTTGAGGCCTCGTGGGCTTCCCCATCTACTTTACCACGTCTACTGTTATTGTCACTGTGCGGCTCATGTTTAGACAGTCACGTTGGTGAGACTATGTATGTAGCTTCTGACATTACTGGAGACATAGCCTCAGTATGGCTCTTACAGAGTACAAGAGTACAAGGCTCTTACAGTCTTTGTGCCCCCACTTCTGAAATGTTCCCTGAGCCTTTGGGTCTAGAGTTGTTTGTAGTTGTATCCACTGGGACTGGGCTCCACAACTTTACATTTGGATTGGTTGTGATTTTCTCTAATGGTCTCCATCTGTTGCAAAGTTTCTTTGCGGTAGGGTGAGGACTACACTTATATGTGGGTATAAGGACATTTAGAATGTAGTTAAGGATTATGCTGGTTTGATTAAAAACAGTGGTTGTAGGTCTCCAAGATCCATGACTTCACCAGCCCTGGGTAGTTGGGTAGGTTTCCAGTACCAGGCGTGATTTCTCTCTGAGTAGGTCTGAGTCCAATTAGAGCTTGGTTGCCACCAAGCTCTGTGTGTCACTGCTGTGCCCTGAGGGCTTCCAGTGATCCATGCTGGTCATTGTGCTGGGTAGGCAGGACTGTTGCTGCTTCCCTCCTTTGGAAGGAAGAAGGGAGAAGGTGCTCAGGGAGAAAGAAGGCTTTCAGGTCAGTGGAACTGGAAGCTGGACGCTGGACGCTTACAGGCCTATGGGTTCTGTGTCTGTACATGGTGTCTTGAGCAATATAGGGACTTCCACCTGTGCGGGGCAACCAAGGGCAACAACAATAGTCTGTAATGTTTTGGGCAGCTCTGACCAAAAACTCAAAAGAGGGCTTCTTAAGCCTGGTGTTAACGGTTTTTGTTAGATGGTCTTTGGCTCTTGGAGGGAGCACTGTCAGCCTATATGAAAATTTTCATTAAACTATATATGTATATTTTATATACAAGGTAGATAGTTGTAGCTAGAGTTTTCCTGCCTGGCCCACAGTCAGGGCAAATCTCTCTCACCTGCCAGTCCCACAGCCTCTCAGACCCGACCAAGTAAACACAGAGACTTATATTGGTTACAAACTATATGGCCGTGGCAGGCTTCTTGCTAACTGTTCTTACAGCTTAAATTAATCCATTTCCATTAATCTATACCTTGCCACGTGGCTCGTGGCTTACCAGCATCTTCACATGCTGTTTGTCATCATGGCGGCTGGCAGTGTCTCTCTGACTCAGCCTTCCACTTCCCAGCTCTATTCTCCTCCTTGTCCCGCCTATACTTCCTGCCTGGCCACTGGCCAATCAGTGATTTATTTATTGACCAATCAGCAACACACTCGACATACAGACCATCCCACAGCAGATAGTAGTTTGTAGTATGATTCCATAAAATTTTTTCAGACATCCTTACTGTTATTTTACCCTCCTCCTCCTCCTCCTCCTCCTCTATTTATCTCCCTCCCTGTCCCCAACTAGAGTCCCCCCCCTTTCCATTTCCCTGGTCAGATAACTTGTACCCTGCTATTCCCCTTTCCATTGCTGCTCTGCCCTCACCCGACACGTCCCAGCAGTGGTCCCTTTTTACTTTGGTCGTTTCTGGAGTTACATAGCATTTATACTCATGTCTGAAGATATAAGTTTTGGCAAAGTATGGTCTTAGTATCAAGGTTAATGACACATTATTAGAGCTGGGTGGTAGTGGCACATGCCTTTAATCCCAGCACTTAGGAGGCAGAGGCAGGTGGATCTCTGAGTTCGAGGCCAGCCTGGTCTATGGAGTGAGTTCCAGGACAGCCAAGGCTACACAGAGAAACCTTGTCTAGACCCCTGCCCCCCAAAAAAGCACCAACAAAACAAAACAAAACAAAATCCTCATTATTAGGAATGGGAAGAGAAATACAGTTTTCTATAATTCATACTGAGTTTTAGAGAATATTCTCATATTGTTATGATTTCAATTGTGTAAAACTGTTTGGCAAAAGTTAGGGATTATGGTTATGAAATAATAGGCCAAAAATGAACTACAGTGAGAAAGTAATAGTTTAATTTTCTAATGTAACTGAAGGGGGACATCTTAGCTCTTTGTTTTCAGGACAGTCCATGGATACCTGTAACATGAATCTTAAATGGCCTTATTAATAAAAACACACTTGGGAGCCAGATATTGGGGTGAATGCTAAAAGATCAGAGAGACAGAATAAGCCCCAGCCAACCTTACCTCTCCAGTTCCTCAGCTGATCTTGTTTCCTTGGACTGAAAGCTTCTGAGTCCTCACCCGAATGGATTTCAGCTGAACTGCTGCTAAAAGCCTCAAAGCTTAAAACTTCTCATGCCTTATATACTTTTCTGCTTCCTGCCATTACTTCCTGGGATTAAAGGCATGTGTCTTTTCCAAGCAAGACATGAGATCTCAAGTTCTGGGAGGTGTGTGTTACCATGCCTGGCTGTTTCCAGTGTGGCCTTGCACTCACAGAGATCTGATGGATCTCTGCCTCTGGAATGCTAGCATTAAAGGCGTGTGCTACCACTGCCTAACCTCTATGTTTAATGTAAAGGCTGTTCTGTTCTCTGACCCCCAGTTCTCAGGCCTGAGCTGGGGACTACAAGGCCACAGGCAAGTGGCTTTTTCGAGAATTCGTACCATGAACGTTGGATGCCAAATGTAACACGAATCTTAAACGGTCTTATTAATAAAAACAAACCTGATAGCCAGGTATTGGGGTAAATTCTGAAAGATCAGAGAGACAGAACAAACCACAGCCAACTTCAGACACCCCTTCAAGTCCCCAGTTTGTCAGTTTGTCCTGACATGGATTAGGATGGATGCATGAAGATTATCATCCAGCATCCTCTTACATCCTCTTTGTTATCTGTCATTTAATGTGAAATGATGTTATGATGCCCCATTGAAGAAAGATTCTTTGACGTGAGCCATCTACTATGGCTCAGACCATACTTTTCTCAGAATGGGTTCAGTTTCCCAAAGAGTCACACTGAGACTGAGGATCACATGCCTGTTCTCAGCATGGTTCTCTATGTGAATCAAAATGTGGTTGGATGTTGTTGATTGCATAGTTGTGGGATGGAAATGCTGAGTAAATTCCACTTACTCGCACTGATTTCAGTGGTGTGATCGTATACACGGTGCTGAAGGCACAGTGGAAGAACGATGTGCTCAGTTTTCATTTCTCAGGGAAGCATTTGCTTTGATAGTACTAGAGATTGAACCCAGGGCTTTGTACATGCTTGTAGATGTATCCAACCTTCTTATTAAATAAGAAACACAGAACCAATGCAAAGAAGAAAGCCAAGAGGTCAGAGCTAAGAGCTAAAACCTTACCCTTCCTCCTGCGGTGGTCCTACCTCTCCGAACCAGAGCTACCCCTGTGTTAAAGTCTTTATATAGAGTTCCTGTCCTGCCTTCTCATTGGTTGTAAACCCAACCACATGACCGCCTCCTCATGGCCTGTCTGTATAGGCCTCCAGGTTTTCCATGATTGGTATTAAGATTAAAGGCATGTGTATCCAATAATAGCTGTATCCCTGAACACACAGAGACTTACCCAACTCTGCCTACCAAGTGCTGGAATTACAAGCGTACGCTACCACTGCCCTGCTTTCCTATGGCTTGCTAATAGCTCTGACCCCCGGGCAACTTTATTTGTTAACATACAAATAACATTTTAATACAAATAAAATATCACCATATTTCCCCTTTTCTATTTTAATAAAAAGGAAAAAAAAGAAAAAGCTTATAACTAATATAAGAAAAACTATATACAAAAGTACAATAACTATATACAATATATACAAGTAATAAATACCTAAACAATGTCTAGTCCATTTGTATTTGACAAATTCAGAGAAAATAATTTCATTATCTATCCTATTTTGGTAAGTCCAAAATGTATCCTAATTAATCTTCAACTATAACTAACTAACCTTCAACTATAACTAACTAATCTTCAACTCCCTCAGAGACCCAAGAAGGAAATAATATTAGCTAACAAAAATAAAAACAGGAAGTGCATGCAAGCAACTTCCAAAAAATTTGTGAGTTGACAGAAACAGCCAGCTGTCTGGACAGTCACCTGAGGTTTCTCCGCAGTGCTGGGGCATCATCTTCAGCCTATAGGCTTAGCATATCTGACAGACTCATTTGTGAAGTAGGATGTACACAAGGTCAACAGTTCAACCTCACATTGAGTGAGAGTAGTCCATGTACCAGAAACACCTGAATTCCACT